CTTCTCAGAACTGCTAGCTTAGCTACAACACAGGTACCACACAGAAACTTTTTCAAAGGGCCATGAATGTGCTTCTAGTGACCGTAAAAGCTCCAGCAGACTCTCTGTGTTTCCACTGTGGACACGGAAAGTCTGACAGCAGCTGCTCATGGCTGGTTAGCTGTGACTACCAGCTCGCTGTTTCTGCTATACTGAAGGGTGGTCAGTGTGGCACTTACTCTGGTCAGTGTTGAGGCCACAACCCCTGCAGTGGCTGTCCTGTGCAGGTCTCTACTGCCTTTTATAAAAGGTCCTGAGAGGGAGGGAGCCAGCAGAATTCAGGGGTGCAGTTACACTTTAATTATCTACAGCTGATATATAAGATTGAGTTGTTTTGATGTATAGTGCTCTGTAGCACCTGCCAGTAGGTTGGAACACGTGTCCAGGGTCTGATGGGTCTTCACTGATGTTTCCTGACTGTTTCTAACTCTGGAGATGTATAAGTCCTGAATGAAGGACAGGTTGGCACCAGTGATTTTCTTATGCAGTGGTGACAATGAATGAAAACACTGTGATATCAACCTTTGTTTAAATAGAATTAGATTCCACCTCCCCTTGTTTTGCCCGATAGCTCAGGTATGTGGTCCACTCGGAGGACTTGGAAGCCTGGTAGATGTAGCATAGTATTATTTGGTGAAGCATAGGACAGCGGATTTGGAAAAGTTTGTGTTTTCTCTGTTGAGATGCAGCAGTTCATTCATCTTGCTGACCAAAGAGCGGACATTCTCCTGATGTATTGATGGGAGCACGGTTTGAAATCTCCACTCCAGCATGTTTCCCCTGTTGGTGTCTCCTGCAAATCTTACAGACAGCTCCCCCAGTTAAAAGTTCTGCAAAACCCTTGTGTAGTTCTGTAACCACTTGGCCATATATTGACATACACTTGAACTCTTAATGAATAATCTTGATAGAAAACGGCCATACTTTTGAATGCTGCTAATGCCATGTTGAAATATTTAATGAAAATGGTAGAAATCAGTAATATAGTATGCAACTGGGACACGTCTCATGTTCTTATAACCAGGATGAGGAGGGATTTTTGACAGGGACCAAAGTTTGTGCATATGTATGCTAATAAGTGCAAACCAGCTAACAATTTATGTACACTGATTCTTACAGAATAAGTCATTTAGAGCATGCATGTATGCTCAATCTATGCTCCATGAAAAAATGTGTGTTTTCAGTGGAAGCTCTACTTGTTATTTGACATTTTCTGTCAAGCTCCATATGCTAACACCAACGACACGGTCTAGTGAAAGTGACAGCACGTACACACACACACAAACACACACACACACACACACAAACACACACAAACACACACACACACACACACACACACACACACACACACACAGTCGCTGAGTTGTCTTGACCTAATTGAAGCCCAGCGGTCTGCCCCAGGTCATTCTCTTATACCTCCCTTATTTTAATGAGATTTTTAATTAGCATGTTAATTGCCTAACGTGATCAGCAGGGTGACTAGCTAGCTGGCTAGCTGCGGTTGATATCCAGCTGGGCCATAACACTGAGGCTTTCCACTCTGCTGAACAAGACTGTGCCAAGCTGAGATTTGCTAGACTAGCCTGAAGAAGAAATGGTGTTGAAGAAAACAAGTACTGATTTTCTATTCTTATGTTGCATTTATGGTGGAGGCATAGCTCTAAATGACCAGTTTATTCAAATGGATTCCCATTCGATGACCCCCAGTTGATTTGCTGCTTTCTTATTTTATTTAGAAAACAGTATCAGGAGGCTACAAAGAAAGCAGGCAACAGAACATATTGGCAACAGAACCATTAATATATAGTTCAACACCTAGTATCATTATTACACATTTGCACATATAGAGGGGCTGCATATGCATAAATATTATTTTTAATATGGCATGCTATGAATGCTGCCTTATAATCTTAAAGATATTTTGTCTTATAAAGACACAGTTCCAATATTCATAGTTACTAATACATGTAGAGCTAAAACCAAGGACAACAAATACATATACATAAAGTGGGTGGTTATTGACATGCATGTATACATGTCTATGTACAATATAGGCAGTGAGTAGGATTTGTATTTGACAGTGATGGATGAGGTTATTTTAAACAGTAAATATATAATTTAGAATTTGTAGGGACAGTGGATGTTTTAGTGTTACAGGGTTATTGACGCTGTGTGATGGATTTAACTGTTCATCTGAGTGATGTCCAGTGAAAATAATCTGTTCTTGTGTCTTGTTGTTTTGGTGTTCAGTGCTCTGTAGCGCCTACAAGAGGGGACAAGTTGGAATGTGTTGTGTCCAGGGTGAGATGGGTGTACAGTGATGTTTCTACAGTGAAGTCCTGAATGGGGGGCGGATTGGCACCAGTTTATTTTTCTCCAGCCTTGATTTTCTGTTGTAGTCTCTTCCTGTCCTGTTTTGTGGCCTATCTGAACCAGGAAGGAATGGATGTACAGATAACAGACTGGATGATTGCAGTGTAGAACTGGACTTTCTTAATAATTGTGTCACTGTTGGACTCCCTCTTAAGGTTCCTGGGAGATTCTGAGTAGATTTCCAGAGCATGCTCTTCCTGAAGTCAGCTCCACAGTTTTAAGAGTGTTCAGTTTTCTGTTCACCCCCCAGTCTGTATGTATATTGCTGTAGAGCAAGAAGAGCAGTGGGGAGAGCACACATCCCTGGGGTGTGCTCGTGCTGATGGTTGGGGTGCTGAATGTGATCTTTCTCAGCCTCACCTGCTGCCTCCTGTCTGTCAGGGCAGAGATGTCCTTCAGATTGGTCAACACCAGTCTTTGGAACAACTTCATGAACACAGATGTCATGAATCCTCTGATAGAGGGTTTCTTGAGAACTGTCATGATAGTTGGGCATTTGAAGCAGGATACTTCATGCAGTTCCAGCTACCTGTTGAAGATCTGTGTGAAAATGGGGGCTAGCTGGTCAGCTAAGGCTTTCAGACAGGAGCTGGGATGGGTGTTGGGGTGGCAGAGGGTGCAGTTGAGTTTGTTGAATGTGCATAACGTTTTTTTCTGCAAACACAAAACCTGATTTGTTCAAGTTCATTTAGGTCTGTGGCTGCAGCCTCAAAAACACTCCAATCAGGTAAAGCAGACCTGTATTTGCATTTTGCCTTATTTGTCCATCTCCTCACAGTCTTGACCAGCTTAAGCAGATTTAGTTTCTGCCTGTTAATGGAGAGAGGATGAATCAGACAGTGAGTCCCAGAGCTGTGGACAGAGAGATAGGCGCAGGCCTCAACAAATGCCACCCAAGCTCCAAGCATCCACAGAGGCGTTTATTCTGAACACATTGTTTGTTGCAGTATTCTCCCAAACGCCAGGGGGCGCACAGACAAAATATTCTGTGAAAAAGCATCCAACGTGGCTACACATGCTGCCTAGCAGCTGTAGTAAACACCACTGTACACATTGCGTTCGTGAACTGTAATTGCTGTTGCTTACCTCCAAATTGAAATTGTTCAGTTCAGTTCAGAGTCAAACAAAACATTCTGTTAGGAAACAAGAAGTCACTGTGGTGAGCATAAACCAGACTTAATATAGTGTAGCAATAGCCCAGTATGTTTTTATCTCTGCTGGGACACTTAATGTGCTGTCTGTATTTTGGCAGTTTGTGGCTGAGGTTTGCTATGCTATGTTTGCATCCAGAATAAAGGAGGAAAACTTGCATGGTGAATAGACTGCTAGATGTTTTTGTTTTTTTTACCAATACCACAGATTGATCAGTGCTTTTATCAGCTGCTATAATTATATAATACATTTCTATACACACAGTACAATTTGAAACTAGAAAAAAACAGAGGTCAAATTCAGTTTAATTTTTCTCCATGAAGTCCTTGTGTTTCTGAGAAGCATGTTGCATATTGACGGTGCATTGTGCCACTGATCTCTGGGCTTGGCACATATGTTTCCTGGCCAAAATTTCACATTTCAAAGTTCATGTGTCTGACATTTTTATTAAATTATGTATTATATCTGATCAATGCAAGAAATCAAGGATTGGAAAGGTTTGCTGATTTATAAGCATGAGCTTGCAAGTAATACCAGCAAGTTAAACAGCAGTTCCATCCACACTGTGCAGGTTGGAGAAAAATTGATTATTTTTTTCCCAAAACTTGTCACAACCAATTTCACACTAGTGTTTTGAGAATGAAAATTGGAGGGGGCGATATCTGACTAGATGATTAACCCAACTATCTGTATTTTCACACAATGCATCCTGTTCAACACCACAACAGTGGCTTCAGGGCTAGAACTTACAACACACAAATTGCCAGGAATATTATCTATACAAACATTTGAAAATGCTTCCTTATTTACTAATCCATTATAAGATTCACTCTTCTTCTAGCTCTGTTTTGGTTTTGTCATTTTAGACCAATATATATAAAGTAAGTATATATTTAGGAGGCAATAAGGTGAGCTGAAGAAAATGTATAGGAGATGAAAGGAGGTGGAGGTTGAGGTGGCCAGGAAGATGTAAAGAGACAAAGTGCACAGAGCGTCTCTCCTCCTCTGTCATGTCATTCTGGTAACTTCACTCTAGCAGGAACTCAAGGCTGTGCGGTTATGAGGCTTGCCTTTATAATTTACCACCACCGCTGTCGGCTTCTTTATTGAGCCTGGCCTTCGCTGACAGACACAGACACAGAGGAGGTTTTGATTTAGCCTGGGAATGTTCTAGCTTGTGTGGACCCTGTGAATCAGTCTCTCTCTCTCTCATATCTCCTTTTGTTGTTCTGTCATATCTCCCCCCCCTCTCTGTCTTCCATACCTGTCTGTTATCATTTCTCTCCCCGACTGCTTCCTCTCATTCTTATCCCTCTATCCTAATTCTTTTCTATCTGCTTCTCCTCTCATCTGTCTTCTGCTCCATGCCTCCTGTCTTCTCCCCTCTTTCTAATCACGGCTCTCTTTTTTTTCTCCATCTCTCTCCTCTTCAGTCAGATCTACTGTATAGAGAATGCCCATGGCCAGCTGGTGCGTGACCTGGACTTCAACCCCAATCGCCAGTACTACCTGGCCAGCTGCGGAGACGACTGCAAGGTCAAGTTCTGGGACGTCCGCAACGTCCAGGAGCCAGTCAAGTCCCTGGAGGAGCACTCGCACTGGTGGGTGGATTGGTCGGGGTCCAGAGAGGTTCAGACAGGGGTAGCTAGTGGAGTGGGTACTGTCCTTGTGTTCAAGTTGTCATGTTAGTAACCATCCTGCTCATGTGTCTCTAAATGCACCTAAATCAGAGCCTGCTGCCATCCCCCCATGTTTGGTGTGCAAAGTGACGTTTTAGGACATGGATGAATGAAGTATGACAGTGTTGAACTAGAGGCTGTCTTTAACCAGTGCAGACTTTTGAGGGCCAATGTCAGTTAGCCTTCTGATAGCCGTTTATGTGCCAATGTGCTGCAACTAACGATTATTTTCATTATCAGCTAATTTGTAAATTCAGTTAACTGATTAGCTGTGTAAAATGTCAGAAAATTGTGAAAGATGTTGATCACTATTTCCCAAAGCCAAAGCTGACACAATCCAAAAATATTGAGTTTTCTGTCAAAGAGGACTTAAGAAAGCAGGAAATGGTCACATTTGAGATTTTTTTTCTTGAAAATTACTTAAAACAATAAATGTATTATAAGGTGAATAATTTAATAGTTGACAACTAATCAATCAATTAATTAATAAATCATTGCAGCTCTAATTGAAACACAATTAAATTGGATTTTGAGAGAATCTTGCTTTCTTAATTTAAATTTTTCTCATTGGGAAATAATTCAGGGAGGGATGATTGAAAAGTTTAAACATAACATGAAATTGTATGTTGCAGGACACATTAGTGACAATCCACTGTTGACATGAGGTAGAATGAGACTTAAGGCAGGATTGTTTAACAAAACCTATGGTGACTTTTTTGATTGGACTTTTTAATTTCACTTGCCACTGCAGCACGAGTTCACCTTTCAAGATCCACTGTTTTCCAGAAAGAAATAGATTTCCAAGAAGTCCAAATCCTTCTTTTAGAGTCAGTTCACCAAACTTTTAATAACCCATATATTTTAACTTACCTTTTGTGGTCATTTTGGTTTTTGAGACATCCATTTCTTCCACCAACCAATACATTGGAGGAAAATGGAATTTTGTTTATTGTCATTTAGTCTATCCACAATAACCCTTCAGGGAGACACATGTATGGACATAATTAAACATGTAGAGAAAGAAAAGTAAGTGGACAGTGACACTTATTGTCTGGTAGCTGATAGTAAACTCTGGATATTCATTAACTTCATGTCCTAAACATAAACTAAACAGTCTTCTTTGAAATTAGCCGATTCTGGCTACTGCACGTATATTTATTTATTATTTCTTCGGTATTCTTCTTTTAAAAAAAAAAATCCGCCTTAAACAACCTGTAGTAACTACACTGAGGGCTATTATAGATCTAATTGTGCCACAGTTATTTAGGTTATTGTAGCAAATTAAACACAGTACATCATATCTTTTTTTGAGCATGGTTCTTTAAATGCATCCAAAAGTTAACAGTTTTTACAGTTCTCATCAACGTATATCTCTTCACCTTTCCACATAGACTGCTCTTTGTTGTATTTGCTATGCAACAAACGTTCCAGTTATTTTTAATGAAGCATTTAAATTTGATTAAGATTATGGGAACCCCATGCCTATTTTCCATAAAGGAGAATTAGTACTGTCAGCTGGTCAAATAACCTGATAAAATGAAATGTTTTGCCAAAGTTCTCCAATAAATTAGGGTGGGACATGAGTTAGTAAAAGTCTTATTTGATGATAGAAGTAGAGGTGCTGGATTTTAGGGATTTTCTTATAAATCTGCAAGGGAATGAACATTTTTCAAATACTTGTTTCTTTAAAGAGACACTCCCCTTTATATATTGCCCAATAGTGTTCAAAATTCCAATGTTTCCCCACAGCTCACTGAACTTGTGTTTGGGGGGCCTAACATTTTATCTCAGACTTTTTACATGATTGGAATTGACAAGAAATATTACCAAAATAGGTGAAAAAGTAATTTGTAATTCCATTAAATTTTATAACTTTAGTGTGAATGTGAGCAAGTATTTCCTGTGTCTAATATAATTATACTATATTTGCGTAATGGGAAAAATCCTTTTACACAGCATTAGAGTGTAATTCAGGCACATTCAGGAAAACTCACTAACAATAATGATAAACATGATGATAACTCCTTCGCTCCACTGTTGATTGGCTTCTGGTTTTATTAATGGCTTTATCTCCTAACTAATGAAATGCCCTAACTACTGCTGGTGCAATAAAATGCAGTAATACACTAATTACTAATTAAATAGGCAGCTACTCGTTTTGTCAGTAAGGGTTGAATCACTGTGGGTCGAACGCCGCCCAGTCCTGCTCCAGGTTGTCTTCTGTGGAGCTTCAGGCAGTGCTAAGAGCTGAACATAGTGTACTGCAGAAGAGTGTGTGTGTGTGTGTGTGTGTGTGTGTGTGTGTGTGTGTGTGTGTGTGTGTGTGTGTGTGTGTGTGTGTGTGTGTGGGTGCGTGTGTGCATGCAAGACTCTCTCTCCTGTGTGAGCTGAATAGATGATCAGTGTGTCTGCGAGCCAAACTGGGCTACTGCTGCAGCACCCCAATGCTTACCTGATAAAGGCAGACACACACACAGGCACATACACAAGCATATGCACACACTTATGCCTTTGTGCACGTGCACACACGCTAGAGCAGGCGTTATCTCCAAAAGAAAGATAGACTTGGCAAACATATCCATAACTGTAGATAGCTGCAGATGGGATCTCTTCAGATACGAGATAAGTGTGTGTGTGTGTGTGTGTGTGTGTGTGTGTGTGTGTGTGTGTGTGTGTGTGTGTGTGTGTGTGTGTGTGTGTGTGTGTGTGTGTGTGTGTGTGTGTGTGTGTGTGTGTGTGTGTGTGTGTGTGTGTGTGTGTGTGTGTGGGGGGGCTCTCTATCTATATATGTGGCTACTAAAATGTGTGTGTGTTGAAGTATTTCTATATTGCATATGCATATGTCTGTGTGTGCACTCATCTTTAGTGTGACACATGTATGTGTGGGTGTTTCCCTGAGTTTGTGTCTTTGTTGTACACGCTCATTTTTCAGAGCGCAGCCAGGATATGGCCTCGGGGCTGCTGGGGGTATTAGGGACTATTTTTTAGAAGGGAAGCGGATTAGGAGAGCGCGGGGAACAGCGTGGCCGAGGCTGATTTCCTGTCAACAGCCTCGGTTATCCCTCAATCCCTCCCTGTGAGGGAACTGGGACCGCACTCTGAGCTGTGCCCCGGGCTCACAGAGAGAGAGAGACATAGACAAACAGAGAGAGAGAGAGAGATAGAAAGGGGATGAAAAAAAGCAAGAGAGGGAAACAGTGTTGACAGTGAGAGAAATATAAGGAGAGGGAGAAAAATCGAGAGGAAATGGAGGAAAGGTGAATAATTTAATTGAAAAATAAATGAAACTGAGCAACCAATACAGTAAAAGCATGATCATGGAATTCATGATAATAAGCTTGTGTTAACTAAGCCCAAATATAGACTGCAAGGTACCAAATTCCCATTATTGGCCCCTGAATTCACAGCCAGATAGGAATATTTAGCTGTGAATCCCACTGTGAGAATGCTGCATTTTCTGCCTGATTTGTATGAGCATGTGTGTGTGAAAGAGAGATGGAGAGAGACAGGTTCTCTGCACGACTGTGTGTGTGTTCGTGTATCAGCAGGTGTGGTCTGCTCATACAACATATACTGTATGTATGAATGCTTATACACTCACTATAGTATATAAAATATCACTGCATTCAATACTTGGTTACTGCTGGTTTCTTCACCCACGTGGAGCTTTGTTTGGAACAATGGGAGATATAAACATGGCTGCAGACTCTTCAATGCATCCATACATGAATGTAGAAAATACTGCACCTTCCCACGATGCTGTGCGGGTAAATTGTGAATGCGAGTATGGTGACATGGTTGTTTTTTTTGTCCCAGGGTGTGGAGTGTCCGCTACAACCACAGCCACGACCAGCTGGTGTTAACAGCCAGCAGCGACAGCCGACTCATACTCTCCAATATGGTGTCCATCTCCTCAGAGCCATTCGGTCACTTGGTGGATGATGAGGAGCTCAGCGAGGGGGAGGACAACCACCAGGAGGACAAGTAAGAGCAACTTGGGCTAGTTAGAAAAGGAAATGCTTCCAGTAATCTAATTCAGTAGCAACTGCTTTCAAGGATAATCTGGTTTTAGCAGACATGGGAATAGTACACACATTCTTCACTCGAGTAGAAGTACAGATACTTCTGTAGAAAAACTACTCCGGCAAAAGTAGAAGTACCGATTCAACTTCTTTAGTCAAGTAAAAGTGAAAAATGACTCTAAAATGTACCTAGTATAAGTTGTATGAGAGTAGTTTTTACAAATATAACAATAAAAAGTACTCTCTTGGTTTCTCTGAAGGACATTTCTACTGGCTGTTCTGTGCAAAGCTGACTGATACCTCAAATAGGGTAGAATCTCCCTCTCTTGTCTGTCTGGTCTTTTTCTGGTGTTTTTGTCACGGTATGTTCGTCAAGCATTATTTTGACTGGTCTACTCAAGTAAAGTACGGATAGCTGAAAAAACGACTTACCGGTAAGTACAGTCATACAGTCAAGTATTCATACTTTGTGACTTCCCACCTCTGTGTTTAAAATGGTAAGACAGTGGCTTTAAATAAAATGTTTTATTACAGTACAATATTTATTATTTTAGCTCTGGAATAGTTCTTCTATATGTTATAGCCAGAGCAACAAGAAGAAAAAAAAGGTTTTAATAAACTATAGTTCCTTTGAGTGAAGTAAGAAACTTGTGAATTTATCCTGGTTACAGGATTGTTAAAGGTCCAAGATTTAGTTGCATCTAGCGGTGTAGTTTCAGATGGCAACACGCTTGCTACACTCTTCCCTTCCATGCACAAAGAGAAAGGAAAAACCAAATGTGATAACTCGTCAACGCCTGTCTGAGGGCAAGAAGAAACTATGGTGGGTCGGGACCCCTACTAGCGGCCTTCAAAGCTTCACAGTGGGTCGTGAGGCCATAAAGGGTGTAAGAAAAATAATATATAGTAAGCCAATATCTCAGCATTATATTTATTCCTGTGAGGAATATTTCATTAATTTCATTAATATGTTATTTTGGTAGTTTATATTTTATTAAATACATAGAAAAGGGTTCCCTTAAGGACAAAGGTTGGGAACCACTGATCTAGAGCCATTGTTTTGTTTGCCTCTTCTGGGCTACTGTAGAAATAAGGTGGTTCTCCATGTCTGGAGATAAAAACAGCTTATTCTAACGTAACAAAAACACAATAATTACTGTATTTAGGTCGTTATACACTAACGAAAAAATGTCTGGATATTATATTCCAAAAGAGTTTTTTCTAAATGATACACACTTGACCTTTAACAGTTAAAATTATATTCCATAACATTTTGTTTTTTTGTAATTCAAGTTTTTATTGAATATAAAAGGGTTGGCACAACATAACATAGAAACCTTCCAGGTGAGACATATTTGCCAGTAATTGACGTAATGTTTAACCACTCCTCTTCATTCAATATACATCCCAAGTCCTTCTGCCACACTCCTCTGTCCCAGCTATTACTGAGTAGTTCATTAGTCAGTCTATAAAAGATGGAGGCCTTAAGGTGTTCCATTGGCAATCTGAGAAAGTCTGTGATGGGATTTCTCTCCTTATATTGAGTCCCTTGTGCGAGACAGCTCCTAATTTGTAGATATTTCCAAAAGTGACCTTTTCCTGTGAGGGCGTATCTCCTAGTCAAATCTGTATATGACATGAAAACACAATTCTGATACAGGTCATCCACCCGACATATGCCACTGTGGTGCCATTTTTTCCAGTATATCGGTGTTTTCCCAATAACAGTCGTTGGGTTAGGCCATATAGATGAGTAAGGTTGTCTAAGATGAGGCATCTTTAACATCTAGTGTATTCTGGTCCAAACCTCTTTCGAATGAGACAGGATAGGGTTCATGGGCCCATGTTGAGACTGGGATAATCTATCTATAGGGGCAAATGGAGAACACGTCTCACTTTCAATGCTAACCCAATCCAAATTACTGTCCTTGACCCAGTGTTTAGCTAGTTTGGCAATTTCAAATGAAACATGATATAGCCTCAGGTTTGGTAGACCCAGACCTCCTCTATCTTTTGGGGAACACATTTTGTTCATTCCAATTCTCAGTTTCCTCCCTTCCCATAAAAATTCTTTAACTGCTGAGTCGTATTGTTTAAAAATCTGAGGTGGTATGGCTACTGGCAACATCAAGGCTATATAGTTCAACTGGGGTGCAACAACCATTTTAATAACTCCATAACATTTTGATGTAAATAAAACAAAATACTACCAGAGACATATCTTTGATGCATCTTAGTTTTCAGTTATTTGGAATGAATAGGTGAACAGGCCATTGGCCTGAGTCACCTAGTTACTGATAATGTGTAGGATGTCACATGGCCAAAGTAATCAGCTTAAAGATAATCACTTTGAAGAATTAAATACCAAATTATCAGTAATAAAACATTGTAATCCTTATTAATTCTTAACAAAAGCAGTTCTTTGTGTGGTAACGTACGGAAGCCCTGAAGGGCCATGTATTCATACATTTTATGTCCTCTGTTTTCCCGTGATAACGAGTTAATTAATTCGAGATCTCGAGATAACCACTGTGATATGATAACTGCGGTCAAGCCAGCCGTTACTCCGATCTCCGTGGTCAAATCAGCCGCACTTAAATTTACAGCGTATTCACTTCCGGTTTTCAAAATAAAGGTATTAAGAACAGTAAGCTATAATTCGAACCTACATTTAAAATAAAATATGTTACATTAACAACAAATATGGAACTTTTGTTTTGGCATTTCTCCAAATTGGTGCAGTAGAAGTGCTTGATATTAAATATGTTTTTTATTCCTCATGGGCGTATGAAACACTTTAATGTAACATATTTTATTTTAAATGTAGGTTCTGGAAGTGAATACGCTGTAACTTTAAGCGCGGCTGATTTGACCACGGAGATGGGAGTAACGGCTGGCTTGACCACAGTTATCAGATCACAGTCGTTATCTCGAGATCTCGAATTAATTAACTTGTTATCACGGGAAAACGGAGGAAATAAAATGTATGAATACATGGCCCTTTAGGGCTACCGTACTAATGTCCATCTTTGCAAGAAAATCTTTTGCAGTCCATGAAAGTTTGAAAGGTACTTCTACAATATGTAAATTTCTCACTAGCAGCCACTAGATGCTCCAGTATGAGTGTGCTTAGTATATACTGTGGTATTCTGTCTGTTAGATCATGAGTTGTCTTTAGGACTTTTACTAGAGATATTTTGGTTATTGAGTCTGTCGATTTTTTAACTAATCAGTTCTTTTTTTAGTTTTTAAAATTTCACAATCCCAGAAAATAGAGAAAAGTAGCAGATTTGGACATTTGAAAAGCTGAAACCAGAAAAAGTCAGTGAAGATTCTCAGACCAGTCCTCCAGGTCACGGTATATCCAGAAGTGCAAGTCTGGTTTTCCTTCATTTAGCATTTTTAGATGAACCAGTAAATGTGTGGCCTTTTTACTTGATAAATTATATAACTAAATCATTGATTATCAAAATTGTTATCCATCAATTTTCTTTTCTTTCATTTTCATTTTCTTTCACAGCCTATTTATGTAAATTGAAATTCCTGACAGGGCGCTAGAGGAAAGCTCACTATTCAAACACATGAATATTTAGTGGCTGCAGACAGAAGCAGAGATCTGTGGAACTGGTTGGAGGGTCATGTCCTGCTGCTGTAAATTTGGATTTGAACTGTCCACAGTATCTCAGATATCTGAAAGAAAGGATAGAGATTAGAAAGAACCTTGAGGAGCTCCCAGATAAGTGTCCTGGTTTTTGCCATTTTGCTTCAAGAGAGTCCTCCTTATTTACAAATACTGAATAGAGGATAATAATTTGAAATCGAGGGGTACATTATCATCCCCACTGCCAATTACTAATGTTAATAACCATGTATAAACCATCCCTCACTGCCCCACCTATTAAACATCTCCTTTTACTTTAATCATCTTCCATTTTTCGGGACAGTGATACCTCTTCTTCAGTTTTGATTCTGTATCATAATGCTGATGTTGAATCGTAGACCTGTGTTAAAAAGACAGAGTTCATCACATCATATCTGATGAGGGTTTTGTCTCTTGTACGTTGCTGGACTGCGAATGAAGTCCGAATGAAAGTCGAATGAAACAAACTGCGATGCTAAAGTGTGTACAAAAACGTGCTGTGTATTTTGAACTGATATTAGTCATCAGAAGATTAAAGCTGACTGCCTGAACCTCACTTTCACGTATTTTGACACTTAGAATGATAAAAGTGGAGTGGTAAAACATTAAAAATATGTTACTGTGAAAACACTTCAGGAGTTTTCCTCTATAGCATTTAGACTGGATTTTAGAATTGTAGGGATGTCCTCTGTAATGGTTACCTTTCAGTGTTTTTTTAAATATACCACTGTCCTCTATCCATTATGGTCCCATTCCCCCTCTCATCCATAACTACCAGCTCTTACACTCAATGACTGACTCTCATCCACAATTATCAACTCTTCTTCCTAATCACCAGCACTCAGCTTTAGTTTTAACCCTTCCACTATACTTATTGACCCCTCTTGTATGTACAGTACGTGTCCACTCCACTCCACAACCTGGACGCTACGTACAGAACTCCTCCAGTTGTTGGCCAATTTTCTGACTATATGATGGCTTTTGAAATTCAACAGCTCAATGAAATTTTCAGATGATTATTTTTTAGATAACCAGGCAGTGCAGACTAGGATTTTCATTCTCAAAACAAGAATGTATCTCTGATGTTAACAATGATGTTAACATTCAGATGGGTGAAAATGTGTAGGAGAAATTATTCCAAAAACATTGAGAGTTGCTACAGTAGTTAATACAGTAGTAATTTCAGACCCGGAGTAATGAATCAAGTCTCTTCGTGCAGCGTTGAGAGAACTCATCATGGTTGTTCTCTGCCAGACTTTCAGAATGCCTTGCTTTATATACCATCAAGCACAAGAACAATTGGTGATCTCCTGACTATTCCAGTGTTAATCATATGTCAGTGCCTTAGGCCTTTCCTCAGTACAATGGTCCTTTAACGTTACAGTATAACTCTCAGTTGACTGTCAGCAGATTCTCATCAGACTTCCTCACAACAGAAAAATTTATTGGGCATCACCAAATCAATACATTAACTACTAAATCTACAATGTTCATTTCTCACAAATGAAAAAGAAAACATATAATATTTAAGTAAGTAGTCTTCTGAACAACTGCAGTACCCCAAAAGATATTAGAAGATCTGTCTTAACATGTTTCTCCAAAATCTCCCATAGCTGTTATTTGGGTGGAGATTTGGTGACTACGGGGGCCACTTATTATTACTATTGTCACTGCTCATTGTCCCCCATCGTTGTTGTTGTCGTTGTTGTCGTCGTCGTCGTCATCATCTTCATCATCATTAGTCACTACTATTGTAGTTGTTGCTACTGTTGTTGCTGTGCATCTCTCTCTCTCTCTCTCTCTCTCTCTCTCTCTCTCTCTTGCTCTCTCGCTCTCTCTCACCCCGACCACCCACCTAGAGCTGAAGGATCTGTCCTAGGTTTCTGCCTTTTAACAGGCAGTTTTTCCTTGCCTCCATCACCAAGGTCTTGCTCATGGTGGTCCTGTAGGTCTCTGTAAATAATGTTATAAAGAGTTCGGTCTAGACCTGCTCTATTTGAAAAGTGTCCTGAGATAACTTCTGTTATGAATTGGCGCTATACAAATAAAATTGAATTGAATTGAATGATAATGTGCTTTTAGACGTATTTGAGGAAACAACCTCTAAGGAACAGTAAAGGGAGAGCCCAGATCCCAATATATAGTAATTGGGATGTTGTAGTTTGTGGTGCTATTGAATTAAGACGTGTTAAACTGATGTATTCATTGATGTAAATGGGCTGGACAAAATATTAACAACACCTTTCGGTATAATGCAATACAAGACCTCACTAAAACAGCTTAAACAAAAACTTAACATCATAACCTTCATGAAGGTAGGATTTATTGCAGGTCTGTTGTATTAGACTGCATTACTTTTAGAAACCTAATAAACCAAATAAAAAAACTGGGTCAATTTTTACTGTAGGGCTGCTACAAATGTTACCCCTGATTGTAGTGTATGATCATTTCTCTTAGCAGGTAAACTGTCCATTAACATGATCCCTAAAAACCTTGCAACCCTTTAGGCTAACTAAGTCCAACATTTTGTAGCATCATTCAAGTGCTTCACATGTACTGTCTTCTTCTCGTCTTCCTCAATGAATCCATATGAGCAGAGTGCTTCCAGTGTTTTTATTTTAGGCTGCAGTCCATAGGGAGCAGCTACTGTCTGTGTGAAACACTTAATGTGTAAAATAAATCCAAATATGTATGTCACTGTTTTCCCTCATGACTACTTACAGCAGAGGGTTTGGGAGAAATTTGAGATGGCACTAATGCTGCATCATAATTCTGAAATGTTATTTATGGTCACATTGTTGTAGCAGTGGGAGACGTGTCTCAGCACTGGGGAGGTTGTTGTTTGTGTACTGAAGACAGTGAGAAGTAGTGAATAAACAAAGTAAATATTCTTTAGACCTCAGCAGGTACTGGTGTGTGTGGGCTGTCCACAACACGAAGGAGATAAACCGAAACTAAATCATTAAAAGTACCATGTGGAGCTGTTGACCACTAGTAGTGCTATGGAGCAATGGAGGTTTCAAATTGGTGTAAAAAAGAGGCTCTGCAAACATGTTATGAAGAAAGAAGTACATCCAATCCGTTTGTCAGACCTCAAGGACACTAAATACACTGATGATGAAGAACAATGAATGTAAACATTATTTTGTTACAAGAAAAATCCACAGGGCACCTTTAAATACGGTATTAAAATATATAAATATTTTATACGAAATGCAAAAAATCAAACATCATTTGATAAAAATTGTTTGCTTCCAGGTCAAATTTGCTTCAAGAATGTTTCACAAATGTTCACATAATTCCTGAAACATAAGAAGGTGTGTTGTAAACAAGGGCAATTATTTCACAGTGACTATGAGTTAACTGCACTACACGCTTAAATTACTGTCAGACTAACAATGAACTCTTAAGGTGTCAGCAGGTTTCAACCAAAGTGCTTGTCAAATGCTTGAACAGTGCTGTAACTGTGGGGGTACAGTGAGCCAGGTTTAGAATTATTTTAATTTAGAGAGAGAGAGAGAGAGAGAGAGAGAGAGAGAGAGAGACTTGTGTGTGTCCCCATTTGAATGATTATCTTGTGTCGTCCTCGCTATGAAGGCAAGATTTTCATTCTGCCTTCTATACTGTTCACAGCTTTGTTATTTTGGGTTGATTATATATAAGATGTTTATTTGAAATTGTTGTTAATTAAAATTGTATATTTAACATTAACTAACATTAGCCAAGGCCCTCCATGCATTGAAGGCCAAGACATACAGAGGCCTACATGGAGTCTGCAAGATGTAATGCATTCATCTTCTGGTTTCCATCACTCATGTCTTTGTGTTTTGTGGGTGTGTGATTTAGGAGTAAGGAGCCCCTAAAGGACAGCGTGGTGTCCACCTATGAGGAACACGAAGACAGTGTGTATGCGGCGGAGTGGTCGTCAGCCGACCCCTGGCTCTTCGCCTCACTCAGCTACGACGGACGCCTCGTCATCAACAGGGTCCCCCGCGCCCTCAAATACCGCATCCTGCTCTGAGAGGGTGGGGAGGGACAGGTGATCTGAATGTGTGTGAGTGTCTGTGTGTGAGTTTGTGTACAGTATAAGTGCGAAAAGGAAAGATAGTAACACATCTGTACACATCCTTTGCTACAAAAAGCTGCTCATAGACATTCCCATTATAAGTTGGTGTGCTGTGCAGGACACTGCAAACAGCATGTGAAGGCAGCAATGGTAAAGACTGTGTGTGATGTAAATATACTGTAGTTCATATGTTCCACTGTAAACAATATAAAATGTACTGGCTATCAAAATTAAACTAAAAACATGACTCCTGCATAAACATTTGACATGGTGTGGTTCTTAAACCTCATTTTCTTCAGTCTGCTGTGTAATATTATGTGCGTTCATCTTATTCCCTGTTGGGGTTTTTTATGTCTGAATCCTATGTGTTCTTATTTGTTATGTTATAGGCATTATCTGTGTGAAAATCCTGGTGTAAATGCCCTATTTTTAGTTATAGAATACTAAAGACACAATATTGGAAAAAAGTGAGAAAGACTGAGGAATGAAAGTTTAAAGAAATAAAATTAAAATCTTAAGCCCAGTGAAATGACCTTGCGGTTTCCCAAGTGGTCGAGGATATTTATGGTAATATTCACCCCAGGCCCACTTTTGCGGTCAAGATGTGTGTAGGGTTGCAACTAACTATTTTCATCATTCTTGGATCTGATCATTATTTTTTTAACATTAAACCTGCATTTTTGGGGCCAGTTGGGGCAGCAGAACAAGCTGTAAACACAACAAAGACATATAATCTTAGAAAAGTCGCTGGATGAATTCAAGTCAAATTTTCACGCTCCTTATAGCTCTGTTTAAGTCTCAACCAACTCCTGAGAGAAATATCTGACTCTTTAGCTGCTACTAATGCTGACCCCTTTTTAGAGGATAATTGGGTTGATTCTTGGCTGGTCTGAACAGATTATCTGTCCAAATGATCCTATAGTGTGAGGGGTTTTACAGATATAATCTTAATGTTACTGACTGGATTAGAGTATATTATATTTCCGACTTGAAATCCTGTAGTGTGAGGAAGGAACAGCGATGGAATACTGAGCAGAAACCCGCAATAGCATGAGCGTGTGAGCTGAGTGGGAAGCGTCACCAACCGGATGCTGCATACAGAAACATGGCTGCCAACAGCCTGAATAGGACTGTTGTCTCCAGAGCCAGGTGGACAGTAGAAAAGGAGGACACGCTTGTGAAATTATGGCAACAGTACCACAACAAGCAGACAAGGAAAAGAGTTGGGCAGAAATTGCGTCGGCTGATCCACAGTTTTTCTTTGTTTTTAAAAAGACGATGAAAGCCCACCTCCATTTTAGTTTTTTTCTTAAGTAATGTTTGATCAGTTTCTGTGAGATCCCAAGTCTCTGGAATCACCACTCTGAAATCATTGAGTATAAACCCTTATTGGTCCTGTGTCTTGACTGAATAGCCCGTTGTGTGCGTACTTACAATTAAAATACAGTTAAACTTTATTTAAGCTTTTAAATTAAGTTTAATTAGAGACTGGGCTCCTTTATTAGACTGGTTTTATAGAAATTCTGTACAAATGTATTATGTATAAAACCTCTTAAAACCCACAGGGTCGCCCGCTTGAGTGAGTTCTAAGCTGCTTAGATCACCTTCACAAATATAAATGGAAAAGGAATTAAAGGCCGGTCTCAAATAAAGGCGGGTTGAGTTCAGCGAATGAAGCAAGTAAAAGCCTGGGCTATTAATTGAAGAGTTGCGGTACCAAAAGTTGGTTAGATCTGTCATTGTGTCTGTGATCTCCCATGTTTTTAAAATGAGTTAAGATTTGAGAATCCGCACCGGGCATTAGCTGCTGCTTTATAGCTGATGTTTCACTATATTCACCAGCTAGTTGCTAACTTTGTCTGCTGTTTGGCACTGGGCAGGTAGTCTGGGTTTATCAGAGCTGCAGGAAATGATGCTGATGAGAGTGATGAGACTGAGCCGAAACAGTATGTTTGGAGGCTGTAAAACCTAAACAAAGAGCTTAAAGATGCCTGAGGGGTGGTAAAATTCTCTGTGGGTTTAATTTTCTGTCCATCAGAAAATATCTGCTTTGACATGACTGATTGGGGTGTGGCCACATGTACACAACATTCAAGCTGTACGAAACGCAGCACTTGATTTTTTGTTGTGGTACCCCTCTTGATTCAGTTTGTCTATTTCAGACCTTTTTAAGACTGTAGATTTACAGTCTGCCGCATCCCTCCTCTCTCCTCTCTCCCCTCGTCCCTGCTCCCGCTTCTCCCTTCCCCTCTCCCTCCTTACAGTGTGTGCTAAGGCTGGTCGATAGTGACAGTCCGAGCCTCTGTTATGGCAGACACCATTGACAGGCCTTTTAATTGCAGCTTGACTCTATGCATCACACATTCACACACTCGCACACACATACACACACTAGTGCCAAGGGAGGGGCACGGGCACTTCATTAGCTATGCCAGTCGGGGCAGGCAGTGCTGTGGCTGAATACAGAGCATATTCAGCTATCTAATCAGAGAAGCTGCTCACAGACACACACAAAGAGCCACACACATAAAACCCTTGTTACCCTGCAGTCAATTATTGAGAGGAGGGATCAGGGTGGAGATACAGAGGGATGGTGAGCGCTGAAAAGGTAATCGCTGAATCTCGCCCATCTGGAAACTTGTGATGCTTGTCACAGACACACAGACATGCACAGACACACAGACAAGCACAGACACACGCACATGCAGCACTCGTCGACACATCTTTACCGTCTTCTGGTCACCAGTGTATGAAGCGATGTGAGGGTGACAAGCATGCATGCCAGGGTCTTATGTGTAGAGTATAGAATATGTATTTGTATATGAAAGATCATATTAACAGACTAACGCAGATTGATATTTCACCATCTCATACACAATATCTAGATAATGATGCAGCTTTGTGACCCATCAGTCAGTCCACCTGCTAATAACAGCTGAGTATTTGCATATGAATCAATGAAGGCATCTCTTTAGTATTCCTGAAAGGCCCGCCCAGGACAAATTACACTAAGTATGATGCATCGATAGTCAATATGGAGATTTTGAGATATGTTATTGCAGCATACTCTGCAGAATGTTTTTAGGCATATACAGGCTACAGACTTTTTCTGGCCAACCTAACACATGATGACATTCAAGTCAAGGCATCCACAAATATGGTATTAATGAATCATTTTATTTGTGTGTCATTTACATGTAATTTACATTACTAAACCAACATCTTACAGCACAGCTGCCAGGGTAAAACACACTGGCCTCATACACATTCTATATGATAAATCCCAACAGGGGGATTTAAATAACTACATACAAACGGCCTCAGTGCCAACAAATGTAAACAACACATATAACCAAAACATAAACAAAACTAAGGCTACATATATAGACCAATTAATCACACATTAATAACTCATACAATTTATAAATGAATAATGTATTCACTTTCAAGCTTTTTTTTCATCATTTTGTATTGCTTAAAGCTGCATTCATTGATTTTTGACCACTTGGGGGCAGTGGAACGAGCTGAGAGAACACCAGTGACATATTATCAATGTTATATAGAAAGAAGTTAGCAGTAACTGTCGCAATTTCCACAACAGAGGAACATTTACATTCATTTGGAGTTTCTGAGAGATTCAGCAAATCTGAGCGATTGGGGAAGATGATTCCAGAAGGTTGGGGCTAAAACAGCAAATGCACTTTTTGTTTTGCAGTTAGAGCAGGGGAGGGATGGATGGATAAAAGGCCAATATTTGATGATCAGAGTGGTCTCGAAGTGGAATGAGGAACGAGGAGATCATAAATGTAACTGGGGGCAAGGTCAATGCTAAAGGAGCTAAAAGAGGCTAAAAGGCTCCGTAGAGCTGTCGGGAATTACAGAGTTGGGTGATAAATCTCTCTCACCACAAGTGACTCATTTCAAATGACATGTACATGTGACCAGGGCGCTTTAAGTGCCAGCCGCCTGGGCTTCCTCAGGTCATGAGCCTCTTGACCTGGAATAAGGGATGACAGTTTTGTTGTGGCTGCCGGCAGCCTCACGTGAGTTAGTGCACCCGCCTGGGAAGGCACTCGCATAAGAAAATGACTGAAATATTTATGTGGCTGGAAAATAAGAATGTTGTTTTTCCTAAGCAAGGAGAAGGACATATTACTGGAACATACTTTTCACTATGTGAATGCACTGTATAAAAAAATAATGGAGTTGTTTGCATCTCATGTTCAAGGCTAAAATTAAATATCTGAGGGAAGGGCAGAGACATAATGTATAAAGTTAATGATTTCAGACATCAGTAGGTACGATTGTCTATATTTATTTATTCTTTCCATTGTGTCTCTCTGTAAATGCCATTGATGCTGCATGCTGTTTCATATATTACTTTATTTTTACTCCATCAGCATGCATCAGACATATGTCTTACACAGATGTGCAGCGCAGTTCTAAAACACAAGTGTTTGTGTAACATCTTGAATGGCGGTAATTGTACCTGAGGGTCACCTGGGTGTCGTCCTCAAAGGGTGGAGGCGGAATTGGATTCAGCTGCTGTGGAAATGAAATAAAAAAAATTAGATTTCATTTAATTATTTATTCATGTTGGCGATGCAATATGGAGCCACCAGAGTGTTTGCCTGTTTGTGTGTGTGTGTGTGTGTGTGTGTGTGTGTGTGTAAGAGAGAGAAAGAGCGGGGGTTTCAGGTGATTATTACCTCGGAGAGTCTGACTCATTTGCATGGAGGAGAATTTATATGACCCCTTGAAATGAAAATTATGCACAAACACGTTGCTCTCCACAGGAAGAGGAGAGAGAAAGACAAAGAAAAAGAGTGACTGATGGGGAGAAGGGGAATTTTGGAGGTCTGTAGAAGCTGCCCGTGGTAAGGGAAAAGACCGGCATGAGCAATAAAGGTATGTTGAGGGTTGTGTGTGTGTGTGTGTCAGTGTGTGTTGAGGCAGAGGGTAGCCTGACCAAGTGTGTTTGGTCCTCAGGGGGGTTGATGGTGAGCTTAATGATTTCCAGAATCACACAGATCCAGCATTTATGTTTAATACATGTGTTTTCCAAACGCTACTTACTATACGACTCCTGAGCTGGAAGGGATTCAGGACTGTTCAAGAACACTCTGATAAGGCAGAAAGTTGCCAACATGGGCCAGAAGACTGCTTATTCCACCCACTGCATCAGAAAGTATCAAAAGATAAGATTTACAGTGCAGAAAGCCCATGGAGGACTGAAAAGAAACAAACCATTTGAAATGT